AGGCCCCGCCCCCCTCCCCAGCCGGTGCCGCAGGTCCCGCCGGTGCGACGGGAGGGAGGGAGGAGGCGGAGGCGGTGGTTACAGCAAACGAGACCGTTTAAAAAAACGAGACGAGACAGGGGCAGCGACCGGGGCCGCTCTGCCGCAAGCGGGGGCTGCTCCCAGCACGGCCGCCCGGCCCGGTGAGGGGCAGGGGGGTCCCGGCCCGGCCGTCCACAGAGGGTGGGGGGGAAGCGGGAGCAGGCGCAGGCACGGTGCCCGGCGGGCACAAGCGCTGGGGAGCCACGGGGTCCTGCACCACGGCCTAAAACTGAAAGGCGAGAGGAGAAGACAAGTGGCCGTCAGTACCTGCCTGCGGGCGCTCCTCCGGCCCTGACCAGCCTTCCCTGTCAGCGGGGAGGGAGGCCGAGGGCAGCTGCCGCTCACGGATATCCACGCTCAGCTTCTCCCGGGCACCGTGCGTCCCATCGCAGCAGCCACCGAAAGGGCCACATCCCCCATGACTGCTGCCTGCCCCCAAGTGTGCTCTGGGGGGTCTTAAAGCTGGCACTTCACAAGCAAAGGGGGTACATGCACCCCTGGGCATCCTCCCCCCCATCCTGGAGAGGTTCCCTGGGTAGAGCGTCCCAACTGTTCCCGCAGACGGGATGGGGGGGCTCTGGGCACAAGGGCCACACTGGCTTTGAGCCCCATGAACCTGCTCCCAAAATAAGGGACCCATCTCCTCCCGGTTCAGAGCCTCACATTCTTGAGGAACTCCTCTGCCACGATGCGGGCCCTGGCATTGACAGAGAGCTTCATCTCACTGATCTCCTTGTCGATCTCCTCCATGAAGTGGATAACAAAGTCCACCAGCTTGTGCTTGTACATCTGCTCCGTGTGGAAGTTTGTGATCAAGAAGCTGATGTCGTAGCCCTGGACAAGAGAGAAGCACCCTGGGGACGAGCACTCAGGTCACTGACCACGCGGCCTTGCATCCCAGTTCTGCACTGGAGACCCCCCCCCAGTGCCAGGAGCAGAGCCAGGAGCTGCTCTGCCATCTCACCTCCACAGGCTTCCTGCGCAGGATGAAGAAGTTCTCGGCCCTCATCATCATGAAGCGCATGAATTTGTGGCACAAAATCTTCTCAATTTCATCAGCCTAGGGAGACAAAAGGGAAGTGAGGCTTCCCCCGCACCAGGCGTGAGCTGCCAGCCCACTGCCCGCGCCCCTCAACTCACCTGCTTCACGGCGATGCTGACGCGCACAGAGTTAATGGAGCCCTCGATGAGGACCTTCTCCTTCTCGTTCCTGCTGATGATCACGGGCTGCAACAGCAGCTCTTTGCTGCTCCTGCGAGCAGAGAAAGGGCAGGACTCAGAAGGAAGCATTTACTGGTCAGAAACAGGGACAGGGAGTGCACAAGGAGGGAGCCACAGGGGTCACAGAGGTGCAGAGTTTTTGCTTCACACTGCTACAGAATGCTTTCCGCCTCCTGGAAGCATCCATCCCCACGGCAGATCCTCCCTCGCTCCCAAGCTGGATCCCCCTCCTCCCTGCAGTTCCTCGGCTCCCTGCCAGCACCAGCCCGGTGACTAAGGGGCGGCAGCCGGTGGGTGCGGAGGCCTGCCCGGCTGCACCCGGGCTGCCCAGCGAACCGGCAGGGACCGGCCAGCGGCTCTCCCAGGGCAGGCAGCCCGGCCGGAGCAGGGCTTCACCGGTGCCCGCCACGCCCCCCGCCGCCACCGCCGCCGCCGCCTCGCCCCCGTACCTGACTTCCACCTCGGGCTTGTTGTGCCGCTCCACCACCTGCGAGGAGAAGTTCTCCAGGCACAGCGCGGCCTGCAGCGTGGCGCGCACCGCGTTCAGGTACGGGCGCAGCGTGGCGGTCTGCGGAGACACGGCAGCGTCAGCCCCGGGCCCGGGTCCCGCCGCCTGGCCCCCTCCGCCGTCGCCCCC